GCTGAACACTGGAATTTGACACAACATTGTAAAATGATTATGAATCAATAAAAAATGTAAAAAAAAAAAAAGAAGTTGTTGTTGAGAATGATAATAGTCAAGATTTGTGACCAAGTAGATAGGGCTTGGGGGAGGGGTGGGCCGATGATGAGAGTTGGCTAGGTGTAATGGTAAAGGATAATTCCTAACTGAATCCATTCAGTGAATAGATGTAGTACTATTCACTGAAATAAGAAACGTAGGAAAGTGGGGAGGGGTATAGTTCAAGGGATAGAGTGCATGCTTAGCATGCACGAGGTCCTAGCTTCAATCCCCAGTACCTTCTCTAAAAATAAACAAACCTAATTACCCCCCCAACCAAAATAAAATAATTAATATGATAATAAAATATTGGAAAAAAAAGAAACTCAATTGACCATATACATATATGGGTCTATTTCTGGACTCTTTGTTCTGTTCCAATAAACTACTTGTCTATTAAAAAAAAGAAATGTAAAAAAAAAGGAATACATTTTCATAAAGAGGAAGAAAAAATTGGCAAAAAACTGAAAACAATCCAAATGTCCATCAACAATAGATATACATACAAGGTATATTTGGAAATCCAAGTAGCATATTTCAGGAGATAGCTGGATAAGCAGGTCTGGCACTCAGAAGAGAGATTTGAACCAGAGATATAAATTTGGGCACTTTTCCCATATAGGTGGTAGATAAAACCGTAAAAATAGATAAAAATAACCCATGGAGCATATATAGAACGAAAAGAAAGAAACTAAAGATAGACCCTGGGGAAGATTTACATTTAAGAAATGAAAAAGGATAAAGAGCTGAGAAGTAAACTCAGAAAGAGTGACCAAAGTGGTAGGAGGAAAACAGGAGAGACTGGTATCACAGAATCCAAAGGATTAGAATGTTTCAAGCTCATCAACACTGCAAAATGGACAAGTTACATGAAGATGAAGAACTGTCAGATTTATCTTGGCAAGGACAGTTCAGCAGAGTGATAAGGGCAGAAATCAAAATGCAGTGAGTTATACCAAGTGCCAGTGAGAATGAGGCACAGCTGGAACTCTCCCTGCTGGCGGAAGTGTAAACTGGTAACACCGCTTTGGGAAACGGATAGTGGCTACTAAAGCTGAGCATACATGTATCGTCTCCAACCCAGCAATTCCTCTTCTAAAATTACATCCAACAGAAATGAATATGAGAAGATATGCACTCAAAGACATGTATGAGAACGTTCCCACAGCAGCATTCATCAAAGCCACAAACTGTAAACCAGACAAATGTCCATCAACAGGAGAATGCATAAGCGACGTGTGATACAGTCAAACAATAAACTATTACACAGCAATTAGAATGAATGAACTACTGCTGTTCTCCACAATGTGGATGAAACCCAAAACCGAATAAGACAAGCCAAGCCTAAGAGAACATACTGCGTGGCTTCACTTATGTAAAGTTTAAAAACAGGCAAAACTAATTGATGGCGATAGATGTTAGAAAGACATTTGTTACTTCTGACGGGTGCTGGGGCTAGTGACTAGAATGGGGCACAAAGGAGGATTCTGGACTCCTCCAGAAAAAATCCTTGATCCTTTCATAAACAACTAATTCCAAGCAGGAATAAAAACTAGGAAGCAACTCATATAACTTTGACTCATAGGAGTAATAAACCTCTCACTAGGCTATAGAAGTTTGCTTGACTGCTTTTCCTATTCTATTGCCAGCCTCAGTGTGGCAATAGGCCTATTACCATGAAAGAGAGCATTCCTTGTGAGGAAAAAGTCAATTCAATTAACTTCCCTCCCTGCTAAAGTCACCCAACTGTCCACAAGCAAAACACACAAGCCCAGAAGCTCTTAAGGAGAGAAGCTACATATACAAAGGACAAACCTTCACATACAAAAAAGAAGACACCAGAGACTGGGAATGAGAAGGGGATGAAGTATTTCTCTCTTTTTTATTATGGTTGACATTTCCCCCCAACAATATGAGAAACTAGTTCTGTAGGTAGGAAATAAAAATCGAGAAACAAAGATAAAATGTAACAATCAAGGAAAGAGGAATAAAAAGCTGAAGAAGAAAATCACTTACGAAGGGGCAGCAAGCAAGGAATTTCAGGAGCTATTGGACTATGCAGCTTGGAGCAAGTCATTCTGCCTTTATATGCGCTAGTTTGCTTAATTCTAAAATAAGGGAGATGAGTCCCAAGACACCTTATAGCTCTAGAATCCTTTGTGTGTTTTCATAAAACTTAGATAAATGACTAACAAAGATTGTTTCACAGATTTAATCATTTCATGAATATCTATATACTTCTAGAGAGAGTACCTGGAAATCAGGCTTACAGACAACAGATAGATAGGGAATGGCAACTAAAATGAAGTTGGATAATCTGGCAAGATACAACAATTTTAAGTAAAAGGTATGCTGTTCTCCAGTATACCTATCCAAGAAAAGATTATTCAACCTGAACGATGCTCCAGAATGTAGGTTATGACACGCAATCTAATTTTTCTAAGCAAAGGTTTTGTTTAGTTGGTAATTTCATTTTTAAATACTACTATCATAATAACAATGATCATAACTAATTTTTATTGAGTGCTTCCTACATGTCGGGCACCATTCTACCTGCTCTTCTATAGATTATCTCATTATCATTCCTATATACCAATGAGAAAAGAGAGGTAAAAGTAATTTACCTAACTCACAATTAATGAGTGATGTCTAAAGTATAACAATATGTCTCACTGTTTCAACAAACACTTATTGAATGCCTACCACACTCAAGGCAGGTAACATGCTAGACAAGAACACTCTTAGGGAAATCACGGTCCAGTACAGAATACAGACATGGGCCCAGAACAATGGGTGATAATCAAACCACACCAAGATGCATCACTGTGAATCTCAGAACACCAAAGACAAAAAGAAAGGTAGAAATAAAGAGAGAGAGAGGGAAAAAGGGAGGAAAGAAAGAAAGAAGAAGAGTAGGGGAAAAGATTCTACTAGCTTAATTTTACAAAGAGGGGGAGTGAGGGGAGTAAGGATCAAGAATCAGAATGGCTTTGACTTTCTCAATAGCCAACATGAAAAGCTAGAAGACAATGGAGCAATGCCTTCAAAATTATGAAGGCAAATTATTTCCAGCCAAAAATTCTATACCCAATCAAATTAACAACCAAATATAACGGTATAATAGAGACTTTTTCAGACATGTCATGTCTCAAAAAGATTACATCCCATGTGTAATTTCTCAGGAGTGCTCTATTAAAACACAAGGAAATGCTAGGATAAAGGAAACAAAAATCAAGAGAGAAGCAAAGCAAATACCCAGGATAATGGTGATGGGAAATACCAGGGTTAGCTATGTACAACAGAGGAAGTAACTCATCCAGACTGGAGACGTATGGCTCAAAGAGACATTATATATTGAGGAAGAACCATCACTACCGTGATGGCTTTTGCTTCTGTATTATCCCTTTAACCTGACAATGCTAAGGAAGTCTTCCCCAGATTCATTTTTGTACAAGATACTTTGGCTATGTGCTAATTGCTTTCCCTTCAATGCCTACTTCCTGGATCAGCTAAAGAACCTCATTTTAACCCAAAGGAAAACTCTGCTTTGTCCTATTTTTGAGAGCTGGAAGTTAGTCATGATGAATTAGAAGCAAAAAATACAGAACAGCCCATTACCCCCTAACCATATCCTGTAAGAAACTGGCCCATCAGACCTGCCAGATGCCCTGACTACAATAAGCCCTATGTTTCCCAGGATTCACTTGCCCATTGACTTCCCTGGAAGGGGTTCTTATACAGTATCAGAGAAGTTAAAACTAGACTACGATTCAGAGATACCAACTTTTTTTCCCCATAAATGTTTTATCTAAGAGGGACAATAACACTTTTTTATTTTTAACACAGCCAGGTTCATATTTGCTGTAAAAACAAATCCAGCTTTTATATTGAGTACTTTTAACATCCCTTTATGCATAAATATATAAATGAATATAAATAAAGCAATTTAATGTATGTTCATTAAAAAATAAATAGGATAGTGAAAACCACTATAAGGGAAATACTAAGTATACTGCATCTTTGAGAGACAGGCATAAACACATTCTTAACAACAATAAATGAATTAAAACCATTTTTTTAGACAGTTTCTCATATTACAAGCAGTTTCCTCACCTTAGAGGTTGCGTTATCCCAAATGGCTAGACCAAAGTAGTCTTCTTCCAAAAGATTGAGGTGTTCACACACTCGTTTAAGTAAATCTTGTCCCTTAGCATGTTTCTGCAAAGATACATATACTTTAGTTGAGGTTTCCTCTTACTCCTGTATTTATCACCATATAATATATAAAATGTCACTGTCCAATTTCCTTTTTTATCCTTGGTTACTAACACTTTCAGATGGCTACACAGTGTAAATAGAAAAATGTGCATAACAAAAATCCTGTTTCTTAATTTGTCAGTTTAAATATGCAACAGTTATAGTTGCTTGGAAATGGTGCTACAATTCAAAAAAGAATTCCACGTTCTCTGCATTGAGCACTCCCCACCTCCATCCTAAACATTACATTCTTTATTTTTGCTGCAATATTTCCTGAAGTTGCTATGAGCCACTGTCAGTCACGGTGAGCACCTTTACCATTTAACTGAATCAGCTGTCGACACTGACAATTAACTGTGCTACGGAAATCATTAGACTCTAACATTCCCAGACCAAATGCCCCTCTCAACTCCGGGCAATGTCTCTTAGAAAAAATGCATAAAGAATAAGATTTCAGATACCCTACAGACATTACCTGTTGCAGTGGCTCTTACAGCTGTGCTACAAATCATTTCTTAATGTTTCTTTACCTAGAGAATCAAACCACTACCAATTTTGGGTACTTGTATTCCTGTTTATAGGGAGGAAATGCCCTAACTTAGGGGCTGAGACTTAAAAGACAAAAAGTTATGGCTTTTCCATTTACTAGTTAAACAACCTGAGCTGATTCAATTAATATTTCTGAACATTAGCTTTCTCATCTGTAAAATAAGAATATTTATACCTGCCCTACCTAACTACTGGAATTATCAAAAAACATCAAACATGCTAATGTCTTCTGAGAAATAAACTTTTTAAAACTTCCAAACACCGATTTCTAATTTTTTGGAATATATATATGACATCTCCTTTTCTCAATGAACTGAGTTATTTTTAATGACTATTATTAATTCGTGTAGACGTTAATTCATTTTCAGACTTAACCCATGTATACATTACATCATTTTCTTCATTTTCCCCTGTCTATGTTTTCATTCTAAATGACAAAGATGATTTGGGAATTCTTCACATACAGGTCCCTATTCCCTTATTTATAATTCCAAATCCAGAAGTTCTAAAAAAGTAAAAAGTTGGGCTTAATTTTTGGTTTTCGGGTTTTTTTGTTGTTGTTCAAAGTTCGTCGGAAGACAAAATTTTGATTTGAACTCTTATGGGCTATTTATTTATTTATTTATCTTTATTTTTTTTTTATCTTTATTTATCCAGCTTAGAATGAACTTCATATATTCTAGCACAGAAATAATGCATTTGATCATGTATCTACTGCTATATACCCTGCTGGGTGTATTATGAAACATGCAGAATATGTACTCATTGCTTTTCTAAAAACTCTAATATTCTTAATTCTGAAACACATCTGCCCCTAAATGTTTCAGATATAAGGGACCCACATCTAGATCTCGGTCTGAATGGGAAGAATGAGTGTGGAATAGCTTTTCCCGTCTGTAGACTAGCTAGTGGTGAGAAGCAGAAAAAGCAGACACTAGGGCCTCCTCTAGTTACCAGGTGTAGTAGCCTATTTTTAAAGTGCAACAGTGTATTTCTCTTGATTTCTTTTTCCAAACTTGGAGAGGGAATGCCTATTAATAAATACTGTATAATATTTTAGACTATTTGTGCTTAGATATATTTGCCTGTAACTAATTCAATTTCAAAATAATTTGCTACACATCTAAGATACAGTATATGTGAATTGTATGTTTTATCACAAGGCTATTATTAGTAATAATCATAACAATTGCTTTGTATCAAGCATATCATAATTGACAATTACTGCTCTAGTTAAAAAATAGCTGATAGATTTTTAAGGATGTTAACATGTCTTGGAGAAGCAAAACAACAACTGAAATAACTCTGGTATTTTTATTCAATCCTGATTCAATTATTTATTCTTTCTGGAAATAATAGAGAATCTTAATAAATGGCATTACTTGATTTAAGTTTTTTATATTCTACCTCAGGGGGGCTACAGAAATACATTAAGTAAACTAAAGCTTATTAAGGTTTAGATCTGGAAGAACAGAAATGAACAAACAGTAACTTTTTTGTTGTTGTTGACAAATAACAATTATGGGGACTGCTTGATCTAGTTTCAGAAATTAAGGCTATCCTGGAAAATCCAGTCAGGGAAGATAACTCTATAAATAACACACCAATTTTTTTTTTTAAACAGAAGCGTTTCGGATTATAAAAGTAACACATGCTCAATTCACAAGATTTGGCAGATATAAAAAAAACTGGAGATGAAAATAAGACTCACTCATAATCCTCCCACCTCTCCACCTCCAGAAAATCACTACTAACATTTCAGTCCATAGAAACAGTCATTATAATGGGTCTTATCTCAGGTCACTGCACTACTTATCCAACCCTATGTGAAACAATTTGTAGTAGTCTTGATTACCAGAAATTGAAATGCACTCACCTCCACAACACATTCATAAACTGTGTCATCCAACAAAGAAACCTTGCAGTGCATGTTTCTATGTCTTCTGATTGATTTCTGGGAAGCTTTTAATTCTCTTTCTGCTTTTGATTCTGGACTTTCTTCTTTTACTTCTATTTTAGAACACTCTTCAAGTCCTCCTCCTTCCTTAGTCTCAAAATCTGGATCTTCTCTGTGTTCTTCCTGAGCAGGCTACATATTCATGACATCAGCAAGTCAGTAATAAAGACAGTTCACAAAACAGGCTATATACTCATTTGCCTATAATATTGCTACCAAGAAAAGCACTAACTGAAAAAAAAACCCTTCAAAACAAATATAAGTAATATTAAGATTAAATAATTATTTTTCTATAGAAGATATGATCTCCGCAAAGATCTACAGACTCTGCTATTCTCAAAACTTTATAATAAAAGGTAGAGTCCTATCTTCAGGTAGAATCTCATCTTTCAAATAAATAAGTGAAAGTTTCAGGTAAACACCAATCTGTTGCTCTCAGCACTATAAATTCTTCCTGACCTTGCCATTATCTATTATTAAAACTGTTAATACCAATTAACTCATTTTTACCAGGTATCAGTCATGATAAATGCAAAGAAGTTTCAAAGAATTGCAAAAGACAGATTGAAATCTGGATCTCCTAGGGCAATTATTAAGTCATCCCGAAGTAATACAGGTAAGTGGGACAACATATTGGCATATATTTTTTACTTAGAAAACAATAAAATTGCTGAAAGGTTCTTAACTAAATCTCACTCTTTTCTTT